GAGGCAGGTGAGGGAGGTGAGGGAGGTGAGGAGGGTGAGGGAGGTTAGGAGGGTGAGGGAGGTGAGGGAGGTGAGGGAGGTGAGGAGGGTGAGGGAGGTGAGGCAGGTGAGGGAGGTGAGAGAGGTGAGGGAGGTGAGGCAGGTCAGGGAGGTGAGGGAGGTGAGGCTTTAGAACAGAGACCAAAAGAGAGCAGAGGAAACTTGAGGAGCTGAATGTAAGGCCCCAGGGAGGGGGCCCCTGGCCGCAGGTGGAATTAAGAAATCTGGCAAAAAGTAAGGGGTTTCGTGTGCCTGACTGATGGCGGCCGCTGACTCCATTCTTCTGACCACTCAGGACACGCACTGTAACACCTTTCACTACCTACAGCTTGAAGAAGTATGTGTTGGAATCTGCTGTAAATTTAAGAATAAACTTTTGTAATATATACACATATATATGTTTATTTATATATATATATATTTCTCTTTTTTTAACCCACCAAGCTGTGTGTGACAGCACACGCCTGTGATCCCAGTGGCTCAGGAGGCTGAGGCAAGAGGACCTCGAGTCCAAAGCCAGCCTCAGCAAAAGCAAGGTACTAAGCAACTCAGTGAGACCCTGTCTCTAAATAGAAGACAAAATAGGGCTGGGGATGTGGCTTGGGGGTCGAGTGTCCCCAAGTTCAATCCCTGGTATCCTCCCACCAAATTATGAGTCCACTAATGGGTTAATCTAGTGATGAAGTGAGAGCTCTCATCATCTAATCATTTCCCCTTCTCACGTCCCTGCATTAACATAGGAGTTTCTGGGGGGACATCAAAGATTCAAACCGTGACCCACAGATACACCCAAATCAGCCTGGGTCCCTGAGAGACCTTACCTCCATCTCCTACTCAGATCTCGGTTCTGGGGACTGGGGCTGGGGTCAGTGGTGGAGCTCTTGCCTAGTGCGTGCGAGGCATCAGGTTCCATCCTCAGCTCCGCATAAAATAACTAAGATAAAGGTGTTCTGCCATCTACAACTAAAAGAAGATTTTTTAAAATCTTGGTTCTCTTTCCAAAAGATGTATACATATATAAAATGTTTGACACATAGATACATATGCATGTATATGTTATCCATTACACACACATATACATGCAGACACATGCGTGTGTGTGCATGTGTGTTAATACTCGTGCCTTCATGTCCCTCTAAAGTGCTATGAAAGAAGGAGTCAGACACACTAACTAATTTCAGATCCATAAAAAACATGTAGCCCTGGCCGGGGTTGTGGCTCAGCGGTAGAATGCTCGCCTAGCATGCATGAGGCCTGGGTTCGAATCTCAACGCCACATACATGTAAAGTAAAAATACTGTGTCCACCTAAAACTAAAACATAAATATTTAAAAAACCATGTAGCTAGAGGTCCTCAGGGAGACACTCCATGCTGATATTTTGCTGTGTCTTCTGCAGCCCTGGAAGTTGATGGAAGCCCTTTCAGGGATTTCCCAAACACTTGGTTTTAAAATCATTTTTAAAACACTGTTTTAGCTATTTTTAAGACTCAAATTAAAAAAAAAAAAACCCAAATACAAACAAACAAAAACCAACCTGCTGTGACTCTCAAGCTGTCGGACCCCACGTCTGACACACGTGGGACCACGTGTCACTGACGTGCACCCGAGTGAAGCCTCTCTTGTCAGCCTCCTGTCGCGGAAGAGCGCCCAGAATTTGCAAATTGAGTTGTTGATAACTATCTGTGCAAGGGCTCTGGATGTTCTTGATACTCAACAATATCTAAACCAAAACCGGATGTTAGAATAAAACAAAATGTGTCATTGTCACCCATCATTTCTGATTTTAAGTGCAGAAGGGGCCTGTCAGGGGGAGGGGTATGTGGAACGGGGAAGGAGCGTCTGTCGGGAGATCTTCTGTGAATGACTTCTGGAAATCAAGGGTTGCCGCCGGGTGTGGTGGCCCACGCCTGTCATTCCAGCAGCTCGGGAGGCTGAGGCAGGAGGATCGCGAGTTCAAAGCCAGCCTCAGGAGTTAGTGAGGGCCTAAGCAACCCAGTGAGACCCTGTCTCTAAATAAAATACAAAAAGGGCTGGGGATGGGGCTTAGTGGTTGAGCGCCCCTGAGTTCAATCCCCAGCACATTAAAAAATAATGATAAGAAGAGTTGTCTTTGAACTTTGTATCAGGTTTTCTTCACTCCTGGGGCCTTGCCACCCACATGGTGATTTGATGCTTATCATCTCAGTTTCTGTGGCTCCAAAGTCTTCATGCAGCGTAACTGGGTTCTGTGCTCAGGGTCCCACAAGGCTAACGTCACCAGCTTGGCCACAGCTACTGTCTCACAGTGGGTGAGACAGTAGCTCTTCCAACGTCATGCAGGTTCTTGGCAGAATTCAGTTTCTGGAAGACTCTGGTTTCTTTGCTGGCTATCACCAACCTTTGCTCTCAACTCCAGTGATCACCAGGTCCTGGCTTCCTGGTCCCCCAGTGGGAAGTTCACAACCTGGCCCTTGGCCTTCCTGGAAGCCTGCTGCTTCTTCATGTCCCTTTAAGGAGCTGCCTGATTAGGGAAGGCCCACCTAGCATGCATCATCTCCCTTTTCAGCTTGGAGTCAGCTGATTAGTGACCTTAACCACTTTCCCCGGTTTGTCACAACATACGGATGGGAAGCAACACGCCAGGCTACTCTCACTCAAGGAAGATTGTACAAGGGATTACCCAGTGGGGACAGATCACGGGGACGTTTTAGCATGTGCCTAGAGCAAAGACACCCAATCATTTTAGGCTTGGACTGTAACGTTTCCACCTTTTCCTATTAACATGAGATTTCATGGAAAATAACTAGATCCACCCTGCCATTTTTCAAGTGAGAACAGCGAGATACAACGGGAAAGACTTGCCCAGGGTTTAAGAAGCAGTGTCCTTGCTGATGTGAACGCCATGGCCTCTGGCCTTCACGCCCAAGGCCATCTGGAGTGGAACATCGGGGCCACGGTAAAGGTTTCACATCTGAGTACGTGTTTCCCGCCCGGCTACGGTAGGCTTCCCCAGTACATCTTTCTTGGCGACACACGTACTACTGAGCCCATTGCTGTGACCTAGGAGTCTCACGGCCCCTGACTTCCCCTTGTCACGCCGTGACTTTCCTCTCTGGTATGGCTCCCTGATGACATGCAGTCAGCCCTGCAAAAGAGACGGCCAAGTCCCTTGCCAGCCCCAGGTCTGATAAGGGTGGGACTCGGGGCCCCTGTGGCTGGAGCGCAGGAGCTGGACGTGGTGGGACGTGGGCCTGGGGCAGGTGCCATGGTCTGGTATTGGGAAGAAACCCTGGTGGAGGGGCCTGAGCAGGACCCCAGGGAGGAGAGCAGCGGCCTTCCTCCTGGGCATGGGCTCCTTGGGGAAGGGTACACAGCATCCTCCAGGCCAAGCCTGGGAACAAGAAGGCGGAGACGCCGCCGCTTGGAAGTGTGTGAGCTGAGCGCAGAATCCCGAGGGGAGCTCCCGTCTTCTGCCGGAGCCTGGGATCAGGAGGCTGCAACACAGGACGTTCCATCCGGGGGTTGGTGGGGAAGGGAAGCCAGCGATGGATCCCGCCGGAGCTGGTCCTGCGTGGGGTGCTCAGACACACTGCAGATTGCCCCCCAGAATGACAGCTCAGCCAGTCTTATTAACATTATCATGAACAGAGGAGAAGACTCGGGGTCTGCGGCAATATCAGCCCCTCCGTGGGAAAAGAATTAGGCCAGGAATGCACAAGTGTCAGCATGTGGCAGGTCCTAACTGTGCCTCGGAAAACACAAAGCGCTCTTCTAGTGTCTTACCAGCAGCTTTCATGGTGAGCCATTTCAGCAGGTCAGATGACACTGAGGCCAACAGGAAAGTCACAAGAATAGCAGGAAGAGTGGGACTCCTTCCAGCCTAGGCCTTCACCTTAGCATCTTCTACAGCCCCGGTGCAGTTGTTTAGGTTGCTCACACAGCTCTCTGACACCTACCAGGGCCACCTTCTTCTCCCTGTTGAGCATCAGGTGACATTTCCTGCCTGCAGACCACAAAGTCAACCTGGAAGGAAGCCTTAAAATGTGCTCCTGGGTTTTTTTTTTGGGGGGTGGGGGGTACCGTGGATTGAATTCAGGGGCACTTGACCACTGAGCCCCATCCCCAGCCTTACTTATATTTTATTTAGAGACAGGGTCTCGCTGAGTTGCTCAGAGCCTCCCTTTTGCTGAGGCTGGCTTTGAACTTGGGATCCTCCTGCTTCAGCCTCCTGAGCTGCTGGGATGACAGGCGTGGGCCACCACTTCCAGCCACGTGCTCTTGTTTTAAAAAGTCTGACAAGCCTCCGGCTGGGAAGTCTTCCCTTCTTCTCACTTCAGTCCTTAAAAATGACAGTTTTAAATTTAAACTTTTTAAATGTTCAGACTTTAGGGCTTTTCCACATTTTTATCTTCCCTCCCTACTCCATCGTTCACATAGTCCCCCAAGTAAATTCCACTCGGCCACAGACTCTCTCTACGCCTCTCTCCCGGAGCTCCAAAACGATGACCCCGAAACTCATCAGCTGAGGACCACACACCTGTCATCTCAGGGCTCCTGGGTCGCGGCCCCCCCAGCAGCTCCGCCGGGCAGCTCAGGACCTGCTTTCAAGACTCTGGAGCTCAGCCCCGGGGCCGTTATGTGTAAGTGTCTCCGTAAACTGGACTGCCATGACACGGCAGGTGGCTTCTCCTAAACCCGGGAGTCAGAGCAAGAGCGAATGAGGGACACGGACAGACTGCGTGTAAGAAAGCAACGAGGACCGAGGGTCTTCCATAACCTAACTCGGCAGGGACACACCGTCACCTCTCCCTAGTTCACTGGGACACACCGTCACCTCTCCCTAGTTCA